CCTGGCTGGAGTTCGCGCCACGGGGCCATCCTTCTAGGGGTCCCCCTCTGGCCAACTCCCCCAGGCCTCCCCTTCCACAGAACACAGCCCTGAGGTGCCGTGGTGGGCACATGCCCCACTGCCCACTGGGGGAATCCAACCGGGTCCCTTGGGGCCCTGCTGTAAGCAGAGGCTGGTTCCTTCTTCGTTCTAGCTTGACTTCCGGCCCCTCCGATGCAGGTGCTGCCAGGCCTGGGGTGCTCTCTGACCTGAGGGTTTGGGTGTTTTTTCCAGCAGAATCAGAGGTGAGAGAAAAACAAAACAGAATGTCAAAAGCTACCGCTGTGTGGGTGTCACTGGTAGGTAGTGTTTGTCCCTTAGCAGGTGTCTGAGTCTTCTGCGAAGGGGCCAGAAAAGGCCATCTTGGAACACAGGGTTTGGGATTCCGAGATTCTGTCTGCGAGTGTTCTGCTCTTCAGATGGCCCTCGGGGCTGGATTCAGAGCCCACATCTGTGAAGTTCCCCGGGTGAGTCCGGCTCTCCACAGTGCTCCTGGTTCCGACACCCTCAGAATCTGCCGGTGACTCAGTTGCAAACAAACAAAAAAACAACACACCTTCTACTTGGGATACCTCAGCGACCCCTCCAACTCCAAAGCCTCTACCTGGAAACTTAGATGACTCCACAGAGCACAAAAATTAACTAGCGTTCAATCCTGAGTTCAGAATGTAGTTTGTTAATGCACATTTAGATGGATCCTAGCGCATTTCCTAAATTAAAAAAATAAATAAATAAAGACCTCTTTCTCTCCAGCTGAACACCACTTTCTCTGGGGGTAAAAGCGGGGGGGCGGGGGGAGGGGGGCGGTGCCAGACACCTCGGGAGGTCTGAGCTTAGGGCTCAGTTTCTGCAAGTCATGAGTCTGTGTAGAATATTTGTGTGTACTTGTGATCAGCATCTGCATACTGCCTTGTCTATTTTCTTCATTTAAATTTTTTTCATGCACATAGTGCCGTGTATTGCAAGATCTTGTACTTTTTATGATTTTTTGGGGGTACTTCTCATTTCATTCTCTGAGAAGGACATGGAGACACAAGGTGGCCTACCTTATCATTTCCAGGTGAGTGGGTATTTGAGTTCTTCCCTTGGCATCGTCCTCGCCTTTGCTTGCCCCGCCTAGCACGTGCTGGTTGAGTTCCTGGCTCTGGGACTGTGCCCACTGTCTGTCCTCCCCCTCCTTCCAGGCTTTGCTCTCACCTCTGTATCTTAGCTGTTTCTTTCATGGCATTTTTGGCAATGTGAAATTTCCTTGTATATTTTGCCATTATGTATTCATTTGTTTGCTCTTGTCTCTCTTCCCCGTAGACTGTAAGCTCCAGCAGAGAAAAGATGGTGCCTTTTTTTCATCTGGGTATGCCCATCTGCCGGGTACAATATGGGGCACATAGAAAGAGCAATGACTACTTCTAGAACCAGTTAATGCATGAAAAAGAGAATGAGTGAATGAATGAATTGATGAAAGGCATGAATCCAGCCTTGAAGGGTTTACAGTCCCACAAGGGACATAAAGTGTCATAAGCACAGAATTAGGTAAAAAGGAGTCAGAGGTGATTTCCAATAAAGGGCACCAATCAGAAAAGCACCCCAGACTTCCCACAGCTGCTGGACACACCTGGGTACTCACTACTTCTTTTTCTTTTTCTTTTTTTTAAGATTTTATTTATTTATTTGAGAGAGAAAGCGAGAGAGACAGAGAGAGCAGGAGGAGGGGCAGAGGGAGAAGCAGACTCCTCGCTGAGAGGGAAGCCCTACTGTTGGGGATCTCGATCCCAGGACCCCAGGATCATGACCTGAGCCGAAGGCAGCCACCCAACCAACTGAGCCACCCAGGTGCCCCTCACTACTTCTCTATCCATGGGACTGTCTCCCTGGGGAATAATCCCCAAAGTGGAAATCAATAGGTCCGTTGTGGAGGCTGTTATGCATTGTAGATGGTCCAGAGATTCTCCGCCAGGGTAAACAACACCCTTATTAACCCACAGGAGTGCCTACCCCTATGCTACCCCCACCCCCAAGCCCTCCAAGGCCCTTCCTCCCTGCTTGAGCCCTGTGGCAAACCCAAGGGTCCAAAGAGAAAGGAAGTGAAAACATGATGCACACTGAAACGTGCAATTCACATGTGAAGGATGATGTGATTTGGTTCATTAAATCGGGTTACATCGGGTTGTTTTTTCTGCAGCTTTTCTTGGTGTCTGTGGACCTCATTCTGGGGTGAAGCTCCTTCCGTTCAATTCCCCCCAGCTTCACTGAACATCTTCTGAGTGGGGATTTGACCCTCCTCTGCTAGCTTTGTGCTGAGGAAAGTTCTGTCCATGCCCAACAGCGCCACTGTCTTTCCCGGATGAGGGTTCTAAAGAGTTCCATGTGGTGGGAAGATGGGGGCCTTGGGCAGCTATCACTTAGGAGCCAAGAGACTGTGGGCAAAATACTTTATTTCTCCGAGTCTGAGTGTCCTCCTCTGAAATGGGCCTCCCACCCCTATCAGCCAGGAGGGAGCCTAGCACGTGGTGGGCACTCAGAAATGTTGATCTCCTTCCCCACCTCCCCTGATGAAGCCTTTGGGAATCCCCACATAACATTCTCTAGAGACCTTGACCTAGGGCTAGATGACTGACATGGTGCTCGGACTCATGCTGGAAACAAAGCGGAGGCAGAGTTACATCCCAGGGGTAATCCCAGCCTCCAGCCTCAAAGAAGCCAGCACAGAGTTCGTGGTGGGAAACGTGGGCCTCAAGTGACCAAGGTGGGGGAAGTAGGAAGAATGGTTACCAGTCTCTCTGAGGCTGGCCCCAAGGCCGTGGTAAGTATGACTCCAAAATAAATTGGCCCCAAACCTCACGGATTGAACCTCAGAGGGGTTCCTGAAGCCTGAAAGAGGCCACTTCCATGAGCTTCCACAATAGGTACAGAAAACCCCAGATTTCAAATCTGAAAATATGAAGGGCTTCCAAACACACTGGATTTCATGGATTCCAAGATGATGGGCAATTCATCTCGAGCCTTTTGAGGCTGACCCCAGAGATGCTAATCACAGCCTCTTCCTACCGGCCACCATGCAGAGGCCATGGTTCGACAATCTCTGAACCTGAAGAAGCCAGGGATCTGGCCCTTCGGTGCCCCAAGAAAGGGTGGATGATTCCCCAGCACCGGAGGGAAAAATCCCAAGTCTACCTCCCCACCCCCTCCGTTCTTGCTGCCACCATGGTAACCCTAAAGGGGTATCCTCAGGGACCTCCAGAGTCCTGTGAGCCGATCTAGTTCTGGGGTCAATGGAAGTGGGTTTGGTGAGAAGAGAAGACCCCTCCCCTGATCTCGCCGGTTCCATCTGTTCTTGGCAGTACCCTGCCTGTGGGGAACCTCAGCCACACTTCCCCTGTGCTCACCTCGTGTGGTTCTCGAGCAGTCCCCAACTTGGGCTCCTGTACCCTCAATCCTAGGGGAGGCCTGACTCTTCACCCGTGGTCCACAGTTCACATACAAGTTCCCCCACCATGAGCTAGAAACTGGTCATGAAGGGTTCCACATCAGTCCTCCTCCACAGGGTGGAAAGAGGTGGGCAGGGAGGTAGAAGGCTGTGTGGGGCTCAGAGAGCTTCCTCCATTTTGCTCCTGGCCCCTCCTCTGTGGTAGAGCTGCAGGGAAGAGAGGAAAGTCTTCCCCACGCTCCCCTTTTCCTCAGGCCTCCATCTTTAATGATAGCCCACTCTGGTCCTCCCTCAGCCCTGCCGGGGGAACAGCTCCGTGTGTCCAGTGCCTTCCCCAATAGATAGTGAATCAGGGCACGGTTGGGCAATGATTCCAGAATGATGGGAGAAAAGGATCCTAAAAGTGGGAGGTGGCAAGACGCCAGTACTCCTGTCCTGGACCATGAGGGTGTGACTTTTCAACGTTGGTTGTCAACACCATAACCAACGACCTCTAGAAGGGTTTGCTGGTTCATCTGTTTGTTTTCCCACAGGGCAAGCGCTAAATGTTCTTAGATTCAAGGGGTGGAAGGTTTACACGGAGGGGAATGTGTTCTTTCCTGCTCTTAGCCCTGGGGGTGATCTGTTGCTGGTGGCCTGCAGATGCCACAATGTCCCCAAGCCTGGGCACCAGGAGGCTGGAGGGCGGCTGTCCTACACAAGCCTGCCCGGCCCCCGCCTTACAGGGCTACCTGGTCTCCGACATGCCACCGTCTCGCCTCGGAAATGAGGAACAGAAGTCTGCCTCGTAGGGGAGGACAAAATGAGACAAAGGGACCCTCGTGATGAGGGGCAGGATCCCTGCGTTGAGAGGGATTTAGAAGATGAAATGACCGAGTGGTCCACCCAGTCTGCTCAGGAGAAAGAGTCTGGGATGATCAACAGGGAAAGAGCAGGGTTTTGGAGGTCAGCTTCAGCTGAGGTAGCTGGCACGAGCAAGCCTCTCTGAGCCTCGGTCAGCTCCTCTGTAAAATGGGGAGGTAATAATACCGCCTTCACGAGATGGTTGTGAGGGTCGAAAGTGTCACAACGTGACGAGCTCTGTACGAATATTTAAAGGGGAAGAAAGACTGGGAGGAAACTAGGGTGACTGGAGAGAACATCTGTGGGGGTGCTGTACCCGGAGTTCCAGCGCTGGGGACGAGACCCAAGCCCTCAAGGGCTCTTCCAATCTTGAGATCGTCTGGCGGGGCCTGGGCTTGGGGGGCGGGGGGAAGCACTTGGGGCCTGGGTCTGTTCACTTCTCTTCTTGGTTTGCATCTCTGTAGCAGGTCCGAGGAGCAGGGGGGGATGCCTCCAGTTTTGGTTCTCTGCCCCAGCCACCTGGGGGCGCCCCCACGTCAGGGAAAGGGGGGGGGGGGGGGAGTTGGTAGGGAGTGGACAGTGTGGGGCTGGGGCCCCCTGGAGGTCGGAGTTCAGCACCAGCTGCCTCAGGCTGGACCAGGTGGTGGGATGGCGGGAAAGGGTGGGGGATGGTGACAGCTGCAGAGGTGGAATCTGGGGCTGAATTGTGCCCAGAAACCCCAGGATCCATGGCTGTTCTGGGCTCCCTTTCCCCAGACACACATTCTCTCTGGTGGACAGAGGGGAGCCGTGCAGGGAGGAGGATCGAGAACAGAGGGCGAGGAAAGGTGGCGCAGCCCTCCCAAGCACTCCCCGGCCTGACACGGCCCCGCTTTTGGGGACCGGTTTGGGTCCTCCTCCCCTGGGCGGACCACCTCACAATGGTACCCTAGCAGAGCGCACCTGCCTCCTCCCCCTTGAAATGAGGACCGATTGGGTGGTCTCTCAAGCTGAGACCCTGTGTGCAGGGCCGGTGACGTCGGAGAGGGGAAGATGGCAGCGAAGGCCTGGGGGACATGACCCCAAGAAGAGCGGGAACAGGACAGGAGGGAGGAGGCTCTAAATTATCCATCAGTACAGACCGGCCAGTGGCCTGATGCATAAATGTATAGAGAAAATAGGGGGGGCAGAGGGGGAGAGAGAGAAGGGACCAGGGTATAAAAAGGGCCCACGAGGGACCGATTCCAGGATCCCAGCACCCAGCTCCCCAAAGCGCTCAAGGTCCTGTGGACAGCTCACCCGGCTGCGATGGCTGTAGGTAAGTCCCCTTGGGCTGGGTGAGGCGGGGGCCCTGCCAATGGATGGGGGCGCTAAGCCTGGGCTCTGGGGCTGCTGAAGGGGAGCACAGAGGTCTGTGCCCGGACGTTTGGCCAAGCGTTACATGTTCTCAGTCCCGGGGCGGGGGGCAGGGGAAGGGCTGGAAAGAAACAGGCCTCTCTCCGTCTGGGCCCCAGCCTTGCCCTCTGTGTCCCTGTGTGTCCTTGTGTGTCCCTGTGTGTCCCTGTGTAGGCCCTCGGAACTCTGTGCTCCTGGCCTTCACCCTGCTCTGCCTGCCCTGGCCTCAGGAGGTGGGCGCCTTCCCGGCCATGCCCTTGTCCAGCCTGTTTGCCAACGCCGTGCTCCGGGCCCAGCACCTGCACCAGCTGGCTGCCGACACCTACAAAGAGTTTGTAAGCGTCCCAGGAATGGGTGCTTGGGGGGGGGGCGGGGCAGGAAGGGGTGAGAAGTTCAGGGTGATTTCATCCAAGCGAAGAGGCTGTCTGCTGAGCACAGCCTGAGGGGGCTTCCGAGTCAAGCAGTGAGGCGGTCCTGGGCGGGTGTCCTTGCTGCAGGAGCGTGCGTACATCCCCGAGGGCCAGAGGTATTCCATCCAGAATGCGCAGGCCGCCTTCTGCTTCTCGGAGACCATCCCGGCCCCCACGGGCAAGGACGAGGCCCAGCAGAGATCCGTGAGTAGGCCAGGGCGGGCCAGCCAAGGGTCAGGGGCCTCCCTCCTTCCAAGAAGGCGGCCCCTCCTCTCCACAGGAGTCAGGCCCCTGGGGCGGGAGGGGGCGCAAGGTGACAGGGTGGCAGCGGGAGGCCCCCAGGCCCCCAGGCCGAGGCCGGCGCGCCCACCCTCCCCTCTGCCCGCAGGACGTGGAGCTGCTCCGTTTCTCGCTGCTGCTCATCCAGTCGTGGCTCGGGCCTGTGCAGTTCCTCAGCAGGGTCTTCACCAACAGCCTGGTGTTTGGCACCTCGGACCGAGTCTACGAGAAGCTGAAGGACCTGGAGGAAGGCATCCAAGCACTGATGCGGGTGGGGATGGCACTGTGGGTCCCCTCCTGGAGGGCCGTGCCCGCCCTCTGCTGGGCCTGGTGGCCCCACTGGCTCAGACGAGGGGTGGGGGGCTTCCAGGGGCGACGGTGCCCCTTCCTTTATAGTAAGCAGTCCGGCCTTGACCCCTGAGAGCGCTTCCTCGGTGCCCCCACCCGTGAATCCTCCATTCCCTTCCCTGAGCCTGGAGGGGAGGGCCGCACCCGGAGGGACCTGGAGGAGCAGCGGCCGAGACCTGGGCCTCTCTCTCCCTCCCCGCCTTTTGCAGGAGCTGGAAGACGGCAGCCCCCGGGCCGGGCAGATCCTGAAGCAAACGTACGACAAGTTTGACACAAACCTGCGCAGTGATGACGCGCTGCTCAAGAACTACGGACTGCTCTCCTGCTTCAAGAAGGACCTGCACAAGGCCGAGACGTACCTGCGGGTCATGAAGTGCCGCCGCTTCGTGGAAAGCAGCTGTGCCTTCTAGTGGCCAGGCCTCCCTTTCACCCCCTCCCCTGTGCCTCCCCTCACCCTGGAAAGGGCCACTCCCGTGTCCACTGTGCTTTCCTAAATAAAATGAAGTTGCATCACACCATCTGAGTAGGTGTCATGCTATTATGCGGGGCAAGGGGCAGGCTGGGAAGACAACCGCGGGCACCCCGTGGGGTCTGCCGGGAAGGGTAACTGACCCGGTTCTTCCTGGGCTGGAAAGAAACCGACACACTCACTCCTGTCCGTTGCACATCAAGTCCCCTGCCCAGGCCCCGGGTCGCAGCTCTCTGGGCAGCCGTAGGTCAGGCGCACCCCCATAAAGTCCCTGGAGGTGTTCCTTCCTCCCCCATGGGCCCCACAACACCAAATCTAACCCCCAAGAGCGGGAAAAAATGGAAAGCAAGACAAGCTAGTAAGTACAGAAGCAAAACGCCCCGACATGGGAGAAAACAATGAGAGAGATCGGAATTACTTTTGTGCAGAAAGTACACATTAGACCCACCTGCTCTTGGAAAACAGGAACGATGCAAAATGGCTTTGGGACAAACAGACCCAGAATATTTGGGATCTGAACGGTGGCAAGGGAAGCGGAGGAAAGACTAAATCGGGGTTGCAAATTCAGCCCCAGGAGGTGCCAGGTAGATAATTTGGAAAGTAAGGAGGGCTGGGCGTGAAGGGATAAGTCCTGACTGACAGTCCACTTCCTCATCTGGGGTACAACACAGAACATGGGGACCAGAGCAACCTGGAGAACTCAGGCCTTGGCGCCATTCGGGACCACAGGGCAGGGCTTCCAAACCTCCTGATTTTTAAGACACACAGGACATCCAGAGTTTCACACGAAATCTGATTTTTAAACATTGGTGACTAATTCACATTGAAAACATTTTTAAAAATATTTTACTTGTTTATTTATTTTAGAGAGAGAGAGAGTGGGGGAAGGAGCACAGAGAGACAGGATGGGGGAAAGATCTCAAGCAGACTGGGCACTGAGCCCAAAGCCTGACGCGGGGCTCGATCTCACGACCCTGAGATCATGACCTAGCCGAAACCAAGAGTTAGACGCTTAACCGAATGAGCCACCTAGGCGTGCCCATATTGCAAACATTTTTAAGGTCAAAAATGAACCCAAAGGTTCATTTTCTCTTCAAGTTGTCAGTGAGTGATTTGTTCTAAGGACAGTGTATTGGGATAACTTGTGAGGGAAAGAATCAGAAATATTTGGACTTGAATTTAGGCTCCTGAGTAGATTACTTAACCTCTCTGGGACCCAGTTTCCTCACCCATAAAATGAGATGATAACAAATTGCCTTGCAAGGCTAATGTCAGGATTAGATAAAATGGTGTTTCTGAGGTGTTTGACACATTACAGCCCTCAAAAATTGCAGCTCTTTTGCACTGAATTTTGGAGCGTCCCGTGTTTTCTGATGGAATGTTTAAATACTTGTTATTAAATCAAATTCTGTTTTGCTAATAGCTTCTCAACTGTTTCTTAACTCCACATAAACTTACAAGGCAGTGGTTAACACTTTAGAATGAAGTCTTTGGTCACCCAAGCACCTTCGCTAAGTAGTGACCTATATACAAATCAATACTTAGTTGCTCAGAGTAACTCTATTATCCAAATATGATTTTACAAAATCAATAATTCTTTTATAATACAAAAGTCAGTGTCCTAATTAATCTTCTTGAAAAGTTCAAATTTGTATATGCTATGATGAATTTCCTTCAAAACAAGACCCGCCTGTATTCATTTTGGATACTTTACATTTAGTAAGTTCTTGGGGAGTCGTTGAGAGTGGGGATAATCAGAGCCCAGAGCTCCATTTCTTAGCTCAGAAACCATTCGCCTGCCGTAGATCATTCTTTTAGTGTCTGGCTTAAAATCATGGACTTTGGGGGTTCGAAGGGGCTCATAGTTCATCCTAATTCATTCTAACTTAGGAGTCTTACTCCATAGCATCGCTTAGAGATAGTATTCGCTGTGTAGCACTAGTATGAGGGAGTTACTATTTCGCAAGGCAGCTCACTCTATTATACCGCTCTGGTTTCAGAGAAGTATTTCTTACGTTAAGCTGAAAAGCAATATTCCTGTATTATCCCTCATTGGATCTTAGAATTATTTGGAAATCTCATATTCTTCAGAAGTTGAGGTAATGAGCACAAATATAAGGATCTCTTAGCTTGGATAAGTGTTTTAGAAGGAAACGTGACCCATCTTTAGAAAGTACAGTGTTTGTTGAATGAATGTGGCAGAAGAGTGCCTTGGGAGCAGTGTTAGAGCTGCTAGTGAGAGGGTTCTGCAGTGGGCTTGTCACGACAGCAGTAGACTGCAGGGGGAACCACAGGCCAGGGAGCATCGCTCAGCTCCTTCTGGGTTTAGGCGAATCCACTCCACCAAAGCTGGTTGAGAAATTCAAAGACACTGGTTGATTTTGCAAAATTTTAGAATTTAAAAAGACCTTAAAGACCATCTCCCCTAAACTTTTTGATTTGACCAATGTTATTCTGCCTTTCGGCTTTTCACAATTAAGCAGTGGAGGCCACCCTCCATTGCAAATTAGAAACACCTGAAATGTTTTCTAAACAACTCTGGCAGTAGCCTCCACTCTCGGCAGTTTTGATTTAATTGGTCTGGAAGGGATCCAGGAAGGAGTGGTTTTAAAAAACTCCCCAGGTGAGTCTAATGTACAAACAAAGTTGAGAACCAGTAAGTCAGGGACCACAAAGATGAGATATCCGGGTCCACCCGTGATGAAGACCTGGGTCAGTTGTGGCTCTGTTTCTAATTCTAAACAGTCCTCTAAAAATGTTCTAATAAGCCAGTAACAAAAAGACAAGTACTGTATGGTTTCTCTCTATGAGGTACTTAGCATAGTTAAATTTATAAAGACAAGAAAGTGGAATGGTTGGTTACCAGGACTGGGGAAAGAGGGAATGAGCAGTTGTTGTTGAATGGGTGGACTATCAGTTTTGCAAAATGAAGAATTCTGGAGACTGGTTGCACGGTGTGAGTGTACTTGACACTACTGAACTGTACACTTAAAATGGTTAAGATGGGGGGCGCCTGTCTGGCTCAGTTGGTAGAGCATGTCACTCTTGATCTCGGTGGTTGTGAGTTTGAGGCCCATGTTGGGTGTAGAGGTTATTTAAAAATAAAATGCTTTTTAAAAAATGATTAAAATGGTAAATTTTATGTTATGTATATTTTACCACAACTTTAAAAATTTTTTTAAATTTCTAATGAAAAATCTTACAAAGGTGAGATTGGTGAGATTTGCCGAAGAAAGAGTTCAATAGCCAGAGCTCAAGTAATCTTGAACCCCCCTGGAATGATGTTTTTCGGACTCCATGTAATCTTTTAAATTTACTCTAACCTAAAGTGACCTAAATTTACTCTAATCCGAATTTCTTCTGTGAAAATTAGTAAAAAGAAACCTAGTTTAGAATGGAGTTGGAAGACTATACTTTCAGGGATCATTTCTATAGTTTATTAGAATGGAGTTGGGAGGCCAGCAGGGGGCGCTCTCATGCCCTACCACTTGGCGATTGCAGACCCAACAGGAAGAGATGGACCTTGCCGATACCACTTTACTATCAGGCAACTAGAGGAAAGACTTTCCTCCGCCCCAGCAACAGCCCAGCCAATGAGAGGCACTCACAACTCAGCCAATGAGAAGCCCCCATACTTCCAACTCCCACTTTACTCCAATGGACTTTTTGTTTACAACAGTCTTCCCAACGTCCCCCCCCTTTCTCTATAGAAAAGGAGTCCGCTCTTTCGCCCTGCAGACTTCTCTATGGTTTTGGGGTAGCATACCTCCCCTAAATTGTGATTCTTTGTTATTCCCATAAAAGCCCATTTTTGCTGGTAAAATAACTGGCATTTTATTTTTAAGGTTAACATTAGTGGCCATGAGTGGGATGCAGAGAAGCGCCCCAACAATTCTGGGGCTGGGGAGCAAACGGGCGCTGGTCCCCGCAGAGCCAGTCGGGCGCACTGACTCCTCCAGGACCTTGGCGTTGTGAGGGTAAGTTTTCTCCTGGATTTTGAGCTCTGCTCTCTTTGTGTTTGAGCTCTTCGGTCTTTATTCAGGATGTGTTTTCAGATCTCGTTTTGTTTTTCTGAGAGCGTTCGCTTGGCCTTCCGTCTGACTCTTTTTCCGAATCGAACTGTTCCTTTTGGATTGGGCTGCCCTTCGGTCTGACTCCCATTTGGAACCAGACTGCGCCTGGTGGAACTGGGGCTGTTGAAAGTGTGTTGGCCTTTGGTGTGGCAGAAATCAAACTCACCACAGCGGAGTCCTATCATTTGTTCCTCTTGGCCCAGCTACCGTCTTCTTTATGAGCAACATCTTCAGGTGATACTGGCAGAATCCACAGTGCACCTCCCATAGGATTCAAATAGATCCCTCAAAATCTCTTCGCAGAATGAATCAATACCGTATAAAGAAGTCCTTCAAGGCATCAAGGCTATAATAGAAGATTGCAAGGCTCGGAGCCTCATTATCCCCTGCACTAGTGCCTATAATACCGCTATTTTACCTGTGAGGAAGCCCCAGTAGCTGAGGATGGGGGTTTGTCCCCGACCTCTGAGCAATAACAACATTGTTATCGCTTGGCACCTTTGTTCCTAAGCCCCATATGCTACGGACCATCCAGTCCCACTGAAGGCCAATTTTTTTTTTTTTTTTTTAAGATTTTACTTATTTGACAGAGAGAGAGTACAGATAGGCAGAGCGGGGGGCAGAGGGAGAAGGAGAAACAGGCTCTCCACAGAGCAGGGAGCCCAATGCGGGGCTCGATCCCAGGACCCTGGGATCGTGACCTGAGCTGAAGGCAACGGCTTAACTGGCTGAGCCACCCAGGCGCCCCTGAAGGCAAATTTTTCACTGTAATTGATCTATGCAGTGCATTTTTACCACCTCGTTTGATAAAGATAGCCAGTGCCTTTTTGTTTTCACTTGGGAAGAATGGAAATGCACCTGGACAGTAAGCTCCAGGGTTACAGACACAGTCCTTTTTACTTTCACCAACCTTAAAAGCTGATTTGGGTGATAGAAAGTTTTCTGCAGGCTCTATTTTGTTACAATTTGTA